AAGAGAACAGAAGAAACGCTTAGCACGGCACTGTAATAAACGTATAGAGCACGATTTCCATTACAACGAAAGGTGAGGTATTCACTACTTTGCAACCACTTTTCTACTTCCAACTGAATATCCTCACGCGTCAAATATTGTTGGCCTGATTTAGGGGTTGATGTTCTTTAGTTTTTCTGTAGATGGCGCAATTATTAAAGTGAATTTTTACTGATGTTTATGATTCCGATGATGATGACAAAGATAAAAATATCGACGATGAAGAAGTTGAGAAAGGTTGCGGTAGTAACCGAAGTATTCGTTTACAAAAAGTGTACTAACGTTTCCGAAAAAATCAAATCCATTATTCATTTTAGTGTTTTTGTAACCATTAAAAAAAAATTATGCTAGTACTGGGAATTTGATGCCAGCTTTTAATATATATAAAATAAGAATAATTAAACCAAAAGGCAAAATACTGTTTTAGAGATAAGAATCTGATTGTGTTATAATTTCGCTTAGATACAGGATACCTACTGATACAGATGCTGAAGAACGACTAATGGACGAAGGAAGGCCGCCCCCTAGATTATGCACCGTAGTCAAGGTAAAGTTGCATGTGATATACTGTACTGTTAAAGTTAATCACACTAGAATTAACCTACATAATATCATACAATATACCATTATAAATATAGTGTAGTAATATAATTTACTCACATACCGTATTTATTCGAATAAACGCCCTGATTTATATAAACGCTTCTCTCGAATAAACGCCTCCTCTAGAGCCTCGTTTGGAATAAACGCCTCCCTGGAATAAGCGCTTATTTTTCTTTGAATAACCCCCACCCCCCACAAATGACTGTAAACAAATCTAATTAATGCAACATCATTCTTAACACATTCTTTTAATGTTCTACTCCTTTTTCGCTAACCGGGTTGTGGTCAATGGTCCCTACGTCTTTTTAATCAATAACACATTTTAACGATATTTAACGTATGTGTTGTAGTTCCACATTTACAGTGAAATTAAGTATATTTAAGTATATGCGCATCCATTTTACACCATAAAAATAAACGCCTCCCTCGAATACACGCCCCCTCAAAAACCTCTCTCAACAATACACGCCCCGGGCGTTTATTCGAATAAAATGGTACAATATAATGGTACAATATAAATTATATAACATTTTTATTATTATTGTTTCTATTAGGGCTACTACTGTTATTATTATTATTATTATTATTATTATTATTATTATTATTGTTATTATTATTATTATTATTAGTTATTATTTTATGCTCAGATATTTAATGTTAAAAGTTGCATTACAAATTTTAATATATATAAATTATAAAGTTACATCTCGTCTCATACAGGTGCCAAGTTTACGGGGGAAAGCGGTTCATCACCTTCCTGCAATGTAGATCAAAGTCAGCACCGATTTTGTGCGCACACGCCGTTTC